CCTCTCTCAGGCTTAGGTAAAATACAGTCAGCTAAATTTTTTTTTTTTTTTTATTGGTCAATATTTACATGAAATGCTAATTAAAATGTTTTGATGCAATTAACAATAAATGTATTTACTGATTCAACGAGATAAATGATTAAAAAAACAAGGGTAATCAAAGACAATGTTATTACAAAAATATTCAGTGTCCTTTAAATTAAGCTTTATTCGAAAACACTATCCAACATATCTCATTTGTGAACCAATTTCCAGTTATTTTGTTGTTGCTTACTAAACAAAACTGAGAGAATGAAAGGGTTGAAATAAAAGGACAAAAACTTATATCTGTTTACTAAAGTATGTTGGTAAATGAAAAAAAAACCGAATAAGAGTCATTTCATGCTGAATATCTGCTTTACACTAAACAATCTGATTAAAGGATACGGTCAGTTCCTGGGAAGAGAGTTCTTGATGTTAGAAGTTCAGCCATGATACATCCTACTGACCAGATGTCCACTAAAATAAAATTACAATTAAAAATAAAAAATCTTCTTAAAATCCAAATTTTTTATATATCAGGTCATCAAGAAACTAATGTCACATATTGGAACACTTTCATTACCCCCCCCTCAAAACCGTGCATCATGTATAATAGTTAAACTACCTAAATGTCACGTTAGGGTGGCCTAGATAATGTGTAAAGTTAAGTATACTCTAATCCCTTATAGTGATAGCACACAATGAGACACACATTCAGCATGTAATGCTGTTTAAATACAAGAAGGGAAACAACACCTCTGTAGTCACAAAGAATATTAAAGACGTGGAAATGTTTTGAAGGTTCATAAGACAAAAAGGCGGAACACTTTCAAAACATTGTCCTCTACATTTGTGTTTCTACAAGAGGCAGTTTCCATCCATTCAACTAAGTTTCATCATAAATACTATACCTAAACAATCTATCAAAGAATATATCATAGCTACAAACACCAAGACAAGAAATGGTATTTTTATTTGCCATTTCTATACAATTATTGTTGGTATACCCTAAAATGTTATACAGACTGATGGTACTCTCATCAATACCTAACAGTTAGTAGGTTGCATCTTTATCAAATTAACTCAGTAATAACTAAACCTTTATTAGGCTCTAGTTTTTAATTTATGCTTTTACTGAAATCAAATACATGGTATTTTCAATTTAACAACATCTTATGCAACACACAAGCAAAATGAGATTAAGGTATAACACTCTTAACATAGAATTGCTAACAAGAGAGAGAAACAAGTGGAATGGATTTTTTAACCTATGACACTAGGAACTAAGGACTAACTAAGCAGTCCAAAATCAGGTTTTTGTCAGGTCCCCACTAAGTTCAACTCTCAGGCTACATCTTCAAAACAGTAATTATTGATTTCAAGGAGTTTTTATCATTACTCATATATAAAATATTTTTGTAGTTTTTATGCTTTTTAATGAGAAATGTGTATTTGCTCTACTTTATCATTTTCACGGATTACCCATAGGTTTTTTTTTTTAAAAGCTATAAAACAATCAATATTCTGGATCATTTAAAATAACATAACCTTTGTATCTTGTTTACAACTTATAATGGTTTATTGATCTTAACATTACACTCCTAGAACGCATATTTTACCTCGGACTACAGTATGATCTTCCATCAATTTATAAGAAAATATATATTTGAAATACAGAAAATGCGTGTTTCATCCATATTATTGCTTATTTTTCATTACTCACATAACATCAGTTTTAGAGAAGTAATAATGCACACCATAACTAGATCTAATCACAAGGTACCCCAAAAAGTTATTAACTTCTAGTTACAAGGTAAACATTAACAAAAATTATTGATTTATACTTACACTTTTTCTACTTTATGTAAAAATAAAATTATTTTTTTACAATTCCAATATATCAGTCCTACTTAAACCTCTTAAATGGTCCAGAGTTTCAAACTTTATATCTGTATAGCTTTCCATATGGACATCCTTTTCTGCAAGTTACAAGGTTTTACTAAGTTATATTCAAAATTTAATTAAAGTACTTTATTATCAAGGTGTACGAATAAAATTGCCATCAAAACATAACTAATAATTCAAATTTTAACATAAGTGTTAAGTTCTTAATTTTATAAGGCAATGTTTAGAAAAAAAAATCCCCAATTCCCCCTAGTATAAAACTTGTGACATTTGTTAAATCTAGTATCTACTCTTCTATAATGTTTTTAATAACCCCTCCAAGAAGTATGTAGTTTAACGTAAGTTACTCATTATAATGTCATCACCCAGGCAAAGCAAAAATTTTATAACCTTCATTTTAATTAATTAAAGAGCCACAAAGTAGAAGATCAGACCCCTCTTGCCACACTCACCTGTCACATCATCTCTTTCTCAATTAGCCAATAGTTCTCTCTGATGTTTAATACTATATTATTTGTAACCAATAGAAAGTCAAAGTTTTAACCTATCAAATGACATATTATAATAGATAGTTTTTTGTACAGAGAATTGTCTATTTTGCTTCCAGTTCAAACTTTATTTCCATGGGAAACATAAATGAAATTTGAGATTTTTCAGATGAAGAAAATTATTTTTAATCTTAACATGAAAATCATTTTGAGTGAAAATATTTAATTACAAATTCTGATTTTTTGTCTGCAAAAGACAATGATTATTGAAAGCTTGGAAAATTTTGTGAAAATATAAAAAAACATACTAGAAGTTATAGTGTGGAAACTATAAAGGTCAATTTGGGGTCACAAACTCAGCCGATTCCACTGAGCCTGTAGCTAGAGTGATAATACAATTAAATATTACAGGATTATTACACTAGAACATTATCTTGTTGTGTCTCATTCATGTAAAAGTGACAGCCTTTTAGCTATATCTTTACCTGTCTGGTTGTATCTCATCCAATTCAACATGATTTCTGGTGCTCGATACCATCTAGTGGCAACATAACCAGTCATCTGTGATTCAGCTTGCCTCGCAAGTCCAAAGTCCAAGATCTGAAGTACAAAGAGGAAAAACACTCAAACTTTTAACATACACTGTAATAATACTATAACTAAATTAGTATTATTAAATAACATTCACCTTTTGAATAGACAGGTGTAATCCTACTTAGTATCAGTAAACTCCTAAAACTACTCACCTTGAGTTCACAGTCTTCATTTACAGCAATATTGCTTGGCTTCAAATCCTGAAAGTCACAAAAAATTAGCATTTAGCAACCTACAATTATGATAACCTGAACCTACTTTGTAATAATAATAAAAATAACTGTATGTGTAATCTAGCTACTGAATAACAAACTGGTCAAAACAATACAATAAAATTTAAAGGGGAAGAACTGCTATATACAATGATAATGAATTAACAGGAAATAAAAGTGATATAAAAATATTCAAGGAAAATAAACAGTTAAAAAGTTACTCAGCTAACCCTAAATAAAGAAACAAAGGAGAATGCAAGTGTTTACGGAAGATTTAATTTATTTACAAGTAGAAATGAAATATATAAAGAAAACTTCTATACAATATAAATTACATTAAAATACTAAATGTGGGTTAAATAAAACCTCAGAAAAATGAAAGTTCAAAAGTCTATGAAAAATTTTAAAATTCAACTTACCCGATGAATAATACCAGCAGAATGGATGTACTGTAAATATTTCAAAAACCAGGTCAAATTAAAACGATTTGATCAATAGCAGCATGTAAAGTCTTGAAAACTAGTTAATGGCAGAATAGATTATTTCAACTTTCATTGATATTCTTTCTGGTATTTGTAACTAACTGTAACCAACTTTTTATAGGCTCTTGCCTCATAAAACAAAGTTAATTAACATTTAAAAGTTATACAAGACATTAATACACACAAATACATCCCTCAACTGTGCCCAGTACAATCACATAGCTTCATACATGCCACACTTGGAATAATGATCAATATGTGTAATATTGGATTTTCTTAAAATGTATCAGCCAATGCAAGTCAAAGTTTATTTAGTTTAAGATATCTTATGCTTGTCAATTAGTCAGTAATAGATGTAAATACTTAATCATACTATAATCACTTACATAAATCCTTCTGGCTACCTTACAATGATATTCTACTTGAAATGTTTGAATCACTATGGAAACCTTACACTTGAGTTTTACAGTCAGTTTTGCCAAAATAAACTGACTGGTTACCTGTACTCTTTTCTCAATTAAACCACTGAAAACTTATGCTATTTAAACCACTTAATACTCTTATATTCATTGTTTCAGTTTAAATTAGTACAGACAATTTACACTATGACCTATTTCTATTTTAGTTTAGCCACTTTAACCATCAGTGTTCAACTTTATTTTATTTTGTCTAATCACTTTGTCCACTCTGCACTGCTATGTTTTCTTATGCCAAAGTTGATTTGATCAGTTTGCAAACCACATTTAGATATGTTAGTGAGTTAATTTGATCACCTTACGCAAATATATTCATCGGGGTTACTGGACTCGGTACTGGTCTAGCTAGTTTAGACAATATTTGTTTGACCTCACCATTACATTTTACAGTTTTAGACATGCATGTTAAGCCTATTTGTTTATCAGTATTTCACATATTATCAGTTCAGATCACATTTATCTGTATCAGTAAGTCTTTAATATGTTTACCAATACTAATCAAGGTTGATTTACACTATTGTATTTGATTGTTTTAGTCCAGCAATGTTAAGCCAATTTGTTTGCTGGTGTTAACATAGTATAACATACAAACAAGATGGGATGGTTTGATCCTTCAAGGCTGTAAATATTCTTTTGAATCTAAAGTGTAAACAGACAAATAAAGTTTGTAGAATGCAGCTACATCAAAATTAAGTTTTTTATTATCCTTAGGCCTACAAATAAAATCTAGTCCACAGTGAAATATCACTGACAAGAAGCCTTTGCATTAAACAGTGTTTAACTGACAGTTTAACATGTATACTGACTACCGTATATTAAAGTGTTTAACTGACGGTTTAACATGTATACTGACTACCATATGTTACAGTGTTTAACTGACAGTTTAACGTGCATACTGACTAACATATATTAAACAGTGTTTAACTGACAGTTTAACATGCATACTGACTAACATATATTAAACAGTGTTTAACTGACAGTTTAACATGCATACTGACTAACATATATTAAACAGTTTAACATGCATACTGACAAACATATATTAAACAGTGTTTAACTGACAGTTTAACATGCATACTGACTAACATATATTAAACAGTGTTTAACTGACAGTTTAACATGCATACTGACTAACACATATTAAACAGTGTTTAACTGACAGTTTAACATGCATACTGACTAACATATATTAAACAGTGTTTAACTGACAGTTTAACATGCATACTGACTAACACATATTAAATAGTGTTTAACTAACACTTTAACAGGTATACCGAGTACCATATATTAAACAGTGTTTAACACTTCTTCAGTTCACAGGCCCATACTCTTATTGATACCTTAGTTTTCTCATTAATTTTTGTAAAAATTCTAAGAATAATTTGTAAAGTCTTAGCACCCACTGGAAATAATTGAGATATATTTTAATATTATAGTGAATATCTTCATTACAAAATGAGAGACATGTTTTTGTGGAAAATATGCAATAGAAAATCAAAATTTTTTCCTCAAAAGAAGCTTCAACAGATGGCTAAGGTTTTCTTTAAAACATTTCAGATGAATTACAGTCTTCCACTTCAACATTATTTTAAATGAATTAATAGTTTCCATATTCACTTTTACTTGAAGTTCCTGAAAAACATTTGAAAAAATTCTAGCAGTAAAATACACTGAACAAAATTATAATTTTAGTGTGAATAATTTTGTATAAACTGGCATATTTTTTTCTATAAATGGTGTTGCTAATGTGGACTGGTAGAATTAGAAGTTAAAGGTGCTTTAGGTTAATTTTGTAAATGAACAATATTCAAAAAGATTTTTTTTTCTACACTCATGAAAACAAAATGCTCATACTAATCAATATAATCACAAAATTGTGAAACAAAACATCAGCCGTTTTGAGTATTTAAAATCAGTATCAATATTATACTGGGTCTTGTAAACTCAAAGACTGTTAAAACTTGACATTGGTAATGATTACGTGATATGCACTGTGTTCTTAAGACTTAACCCAACAAGCTAAAAATAAGTTTATTTAACTTGTTCAAGTTACTTTTACCATATGTGACCTGCTAATTCTGCAATTCACTTAATAAGAGCAACAAACCTCTGAAATGAATACAGGTAACAACACTTAAATAACAGGAATAATTATACAACAGAATTAATGAACATAGGTATATTAACATTTCATTGTAATATTTATTTTTTCCCCTTGCATTCAAAGCTCATTCTAGAAGTTCTATTTTCTTCTGTTTGGCTCCAATTGTAGTAAGGTTATTCTGGGACTTGTCTAGTTTTTCCTTGTCTGTTAATAATGTAAATTGAACAGCTGTTGCATCATGAAGATTTGTGTTTTTTAAAGCAAACTAGTATATAATTTCCTACATCCAAGAGATTTAGCAGTGTATATATCATTTTGTATTTTCTTTTACTTGCCTATGAAACATGCTTCTCGAAACTTTGACAGGATGAAATTTCCTGACTTTTTGATCCAAGCTTATAATGTATCAGTGAACTCTTACCTATAATAATAATATAATGTAAAATTTCAAAACATTATAAATGTATTGTTTAATAAAAAGTTGCAATATGACAAGTCAAGCCATTCCCCAGTTATTGATATTTTATCAGAATGTACAAAATAAAGGCAGTTTATTCCTTAGAAAGTGTGATCAGTACATACTATCGTATACTAATTTTAATTCAAATCACAAAAATATTATTACAACATAAACAACACTAAATTTTAACATTTTTGATGACTAGAGCAGTCTTTATTTGCAGGTAAAATTTCAAGTAAAAGTTCTACAGCTCTCATCCATTAATTCTGTTCCAATGTACAATAAAAAGATAATATGTCAAATTTCATACATTTTGGACCATATCTAGAGGTTGCTCAATGAGGTCAAAGTTCTAGACTGCACTGGTCACATAACATATGTACTACGTGATTTAAAAACATTTGTTATGTGTTATAAATTATCTATTCATAGTATGATATTATTTTATTGGATGTATGATAGTATAATTGCATAATTATATGATTTTAGTGTGGTTAGTCACTTTTGCATTGTTATTGTTTCCTTTCTGCTGTATTCTAGATATTGTCTAAAATATGTATTATTACAAAGCAATACAGTGTACTCACCTTTAGTCCTCTTAGGACTTGGTAGATAAGGAACTGTACATGATCATCACTTAGTTTCTGAGTTCTGATAATGTTGTTCAGATCAGAACCCATTAGGTGGGTTACCAAATATCTGTAAATTAAATTTTTTGTAAACTTAAGACACCTTTGACAAAAAATATTTCATACATAAAATTACAAGTAATTTCAGATTACATTAGAAATAATTTCAAGCCATTTGATTCACCATAAAGATAGCATATGTTAAGAAATACAAAGCCAATAATTTAGTACAAAATATATCAAGGCCCCAGAAGAACCTCACTTTCCATAAAGAAAATAGTCACTAACTATTGTTAGATTAATACTTTCCTCTCCAAGTGTATTCAGGGCAATTTTTACATAGATATACCCAGAGTTTAAATTGGTAAATAAAACAAGTTTCAGGTTTTTAGCTAAAACATTTTTATTTTAGCCAAAAATAACAGTTGAAACATGTTTGAAACAAATAGTTTTATTTGGTATGATTAATTTGGCAACCATATTAGTTTTTAGGCATTAATTACCCCCTTCCCCTTCATAGTTAGCCAGTTATTCAAAGGTTTGTTTAACATATGAATTTGGAAACAGATCAAAAACCCCTGCAGAGTTCTCATTAAGTGTTCAGTTATTTATTTTCAGATATAATACCTTTCCAAAATAAACAGTAAACTGTGACATATATTTTGATAATTATACACAGGATTTATATATTTTGTATTAGCCCATTCTGTGCTATATGAACATGTGAAAATTACAAATTATTTATTTTGCATTTGAAAATTACATCTAACAATTTAAATGTACCAGTTAAAGCCTAACAAAATTTTTAGACTAGTTTTCATCTTCATTTGAAGCAGTGAATGAGCACCTGTGAATGTTGGCAGTGACCAGATGGATTGAGAGTGGTTGCTAAGTAACATTTATTGTGTACTTGTAGAAACCTGCTAATAAAATATTTCTATCATAAAATCTTAAGTTTAATGATTAAAAAAAGAAAAAAGAAAAAAAATATTTCATTCAGCTAAGCATTAAGAAGCACTTAATTATAATGCAAGTAATTTTGGGAAATATGCAAAAATGACATGAAAACATTTATAATACACATTTTAGGTTTTCAGTTTTGCTGCTAAAGTAAAATTTTAGTAAAATTTTTTCACTATGTTTTTAATATTGATATTTCCTCACCTTCAATTAAATACACCCCAAAAAATGTAAATTTGACTACCTCATATAGTATTGAGAGAGAGGTTTTTAAATAAAGAAGGCTCTGTATATAGTTGAAACTTTAGTAGCATGCCATAATTTCAGGTTGAGTTTCCATGACAACAACTAGACCAGTATGAGGAAAGTACAAAAATCACCCATAATGCACAAACATTTCAGATAATTAATGGTTTCTGTGACACAGTTACCTCAACCCAAAAGTTCCTTGAAAGTTGAAAAACCAGTTTATCTCATATCAATGAAAGTAGAAACACATGATTAATGTTAGTTTAAACACTGGATATCTATAATAATGGTAAAAAAAGAGGTTTACTCTCTGCGTTAGACAGACTGAAATCTTTCTACAGACAGGAACAAATTGAAACCTATTTCAAGTATGGTACTATATCTCAACTGATAGAAAGCAACAACTAATGAAATCAGAATACTCAGTAAATTTGCCAATTTGATATAACAGTTTGAAAATTTTTACAATAATTTTAGGATTGTTTCAGAGTTTTACAAGTAAATATAGGTTAAAAGTGAGATAAATCAACAGATAGTTACCTGAATTTAAAGTTTATTTTAAAAATTAGCCCTAGATTTTGAAAATGAGAGATAAAATCTAGGCTTATATACTTAAAAATTGCTCTTGACCATTTAGTAAGGTTTAAAAAAATTATTTTTTTATTTATAAGCTAACTAAAAAATACAAAGTTGGGACTTTAGAAGTCCAAAATGGCAAGTCAAATTCAGCAAATACACTTAAAAAAACTGATAGTATTTGTCAAGATAGTTAGATAAAAGAAAGCATATTTCTTTTACTTCCATAATAGGACTTTTCCCAAATTGAATGAACATATCCAATTATATTAAAAATAATTGTTAAAAAGTTAGCAAAATAAAGAAGACATCAAAACACTTGTAAGAGTTCATTATATAATGGTGATGTTTGCTATGGTAAGTTCTTGAACATGAACTAGTTTGTGGAATAATTTATCTGTAAATAGAACCAATTTAAATGGATTGCAAAGACAGTATCAAAACTTAACTTGCATTACAATGCACTATATAAAACAAATATTTCCATCTTGTGTGAAGCCAGTAGGAATCCAAGGGAATTTATAGACAGATGAATAGGTTCTAAAACATGGATCTTTCCTGTAAGAAAGTAGTTCTTAAAATAAATCTACTCACACATCTTGGAAGTCATCTAATGTAGTAGTTGGGGTAAAAACATCAAGCAGGCCTATCACCTGTTCAAAAAATCAAAAACAGTCACATTCAACTAATGCTCTCACACATTAGGTCCTAGTATCTAACTTCTCATAATAAGTGCTATGGCATTACTGAATGCTTAACTTCATAAAATATTAAAAACAAGTCAAAAAGGTTATCCAATCCAATACATATTTGCTTTTCGTTACCCAAATCTTTATAATAAACATATCTGTACAACTCAAATTACCACCTAGAAATTTGCAGTCATGCTACCACTGTTTAACATGAACAGCCCTGATCTGAAGTACATAATGAACAGAAACTACAAACTTCACTACCATTCTTAACCTTTTTTTTTTTTGGAAGATAAAACCCTGAAGTTTGACAGAAGTTAATGACCTATTTCTAATCTTTTATATACTGACTAGACATAATACTTACATTGTTCATCCCAAGTAACAAATCAAACTTATATGCGATTTTCATGTAGGAAATGTTTTAAATAAAGTTAATTCAATGAAACCATTTAATGCATTTCTTTCTTTTCATATAGTTTCAAGTTCAATACCCTATATCCATAAGTTTCATAACATCAACCCACAGTTAAATTTAAAATCACACTAAACTAATTCAAGAACATGTAAATATGTTAACACAATCTAGTAATTTTATTGTTTACTATATCCAATACTAACAGTTTGTACGTTCCTTCAAAGATGTGTAACAGTATTACATGTAAATGGTGTTTATTTATTTGCTAAGGTCCTATCATATTTCACATTCATCTGGATTTCTTTACACACATTGATATTGTTTAAACTGCCAAATGACAGCACATTGTGTTTTCTATCACCCTTATTTACCAGTCAATGGGCCAAACAAGACCTCAAACATCTTATTATTAATAAGTAATAAAAAATGTTTTGAAAAAAATAAATAAATACGAATGATGTAGAGATGGCAATGCCAAAAAGTATAGAAACAAAGCAGGGATGAATACACAAAACCATACAAAAATCCCTATATACATAGCCAAATATTTCTAAGGAAAACTTTTATCTATAACTAAATGTCGATTTCATTTCATTTGCATGAATTCAGGTTTGAATAATGCTATAAAGTCTTGCAATGGCTAATTCCCATAAGCTTGTAACATTAGTGGTTACTTATGTAGGGACTTTTGTATGGCTTTGTGTCTTCATCACTACCTTGTTTCTGTACTTTTTTGGCATTGACATTCCTATATCATACTTATTTTTCAATTTTTTTTTTTAATTACTTGTCTCCCCTCATTTTTTTCATGAATGACAGTTGCTATGAAAGCAGTAGTTTTAGCCTGACATGATGAGTTGTCTTGAAGGTCATCATATGTTGAAGTTAGTGAAATCCTATACTGCTTCTGCACTCTCCAAGTTAAAATGCAACATTTTGGTGTGTAAATCATCACAACTTCAAGCATTGGTGAGCTAGCCCTTCTGACACCAGAATCAGAATAATCAGCAGAACATTTGGCTGTTATGATACTCACCACTTCTCTATTTTAACAATGTTTTTTGGCTAAACTGAAGGTCTTAATAGCTTTTGAAAACCTCAAAAACCAACATTAGGGGTTTACGAGAGTCTCTTACATTGTTATAAGAAAGATTTGAGACTAAGGTGAGCAATACATTATATGTGATGGCCATTTTTTTCCTGGCCCATCCCTACATACTTTTTTCTGTAATAAATAAAATGAATGTCACATCAGTTATTACTAATGATACAGTTTTGTTTGTTCGTTTAATTTTCATGCAAAGCTAACAAGCTATCTGCACTAGCCATCACTAAAATAATTTGAGGTGATAGATTAGAGGCAGCTGTAGCTATTGAACAGCACGATCTCTTGGGCTAGTTTTTACCAGCAAACAGTGGGATTGACCATCACCTTATAATCTCCTGTGGCTAAAAAGGTGAGCATGTTTGGTAATGAATTTCAATCCTTCTACCTGCAGATTCTGGGTCAAGTGCTCTAAACACCAGAAACATATTTCCCTCTTTTTCTTAAGTAGAACTTCCCCTATCAACATCACATGACCTAACATTCTGAATGTCCTTGATACTATACCTGAATCATACCTACTAATAGTTCTCCACTCTTATTTCCACATGCCTCAGGGAATTAGCTAAGCTTTACCTTTCAGTCTAAAGCCATATTTCTTTTCCAGTCGTAATGCACTGCCAATCTCATGGTTATGGGTAATTGGAGGGGGGGGTGGTGTTTTAGAGTTAACTACCAATTTGGAATTATTTTTTTTTTTTCAATTCTAAGTGTGTAAAATATGCAAAATTCAAAACAGGCAGACTTACCTCTGAAACACAGTTTGTTTGATTACACACATTTAAAATGAGAAGGGATTTACTGAATGTTACACTAGTTGATGGCTAGAGGAGTCAAGCATGAGAAATAAAAATCAAAATACAGATCCAACAATACAAGTGGCCAAGAAGAATTGGGAGGTCCAAATACTTTTTGAGAATACATGATAATTAATAAAAACTGATCCAATGTTTATTAATGATATTCAGAATAAGCATTCGTCTATTAGAATACCTAGTTTCCTGTGGGAATCAAGTTTGCATTGAAAGAGAAATTGACAATTCTCTCTTCAGAAAACAATGTAACATAATAAGTCATTTGATAGATGAAAACCTTGCCTTTCTATTGGTTAGTAAAAATATAGTATTGTAAGTCAGAGAGAACTATTGATAATTTCTGAAAGAGAGAATGTGACAAAAGGGCATGGCAAGAGAGGAGTCTGGTTGTCTATTACATGACTCTGTAACCAAATAGGATTGAAGGCTATTTAAATTGTGCTTTGCCTGAGCAATATTAAATTTTGTACTTCTGGGAGGGGTGCTAAATAAATTAAAGAGGGAATGCCAATAGAACAAATATCACCTCACACTAGGGAAAATTCTAGATTTTTTAAATGTTGTTTTATAAAAGTAAGAACTTAAAATATTTATATTATTAAAATACGGATTATTAGCTACATTTTTTATGCTATAGCTATTGATATACCATGAAAAGAAATTAGTTTAGTTCAATTTTGAATGTAACTCACTAAAACCTTGTGAAATGTGCAGAAAAAAAGATTCCTGTAGAGAGAGAGAGGGTTAAGAGGATTTCTGAAAGTGAGTAAGAACTTTCCAATAAGAGGAAGATGGAAAAAGATCCTAAAACAGAAAATCAAACACAAGTTAGCCCCCCTTTAGATATTACAGAATTAGGCACAAAATTTGAAGTAGCACATACCTGAGAGATAAATAAAATCAGCAGAAGTGTCGTCAATAAGAGGGTTACACGAAAAAGGCTGTTCTTTAGAATGGAAGACAGAGATTACTAGGTGTTATGTGACAATGGTGACAACTTAAATGGAAAATCTCATAGAAATAACCACAGATGGCACATCATGCAAGGCCCAAATAAACAGAGCAAACAGGGTCAACAAGCACCCACAGATTTACAGTGTATATCCACAGTTAAATGTGCAATAAGGCCTCAAGAGAAGGAGTAAAAATGAACAGAAATGTAAAGAACAGGGTTAATAGTAAAGTTCCAAAGCATAATGAAATAAAGCGATTGAGGTGAACAGCATACTGACAACAAGTAAATGTAGCTTTGAGCTGAAAGTAGAACTTAACTAGTCCTCTTACACAGATGCAAACAAGTCACATGGAAGGTGGGAGAGTGCAGAATTATGCAAGAACATTCAAAACTTTAGTCATGTGATGCTGAAAGAGCAAGTTCTATTCAACAAAAAGAGGTATACTGATTTCCGGAGGTAAGTCTGCCTTTTTGAATACTCTCTTTTACTCATCATTAAGAAGTGGATGTTATGCATTTATGGTTTGTATCTTAGTATTGCAATCACTGCACATACCAATGAATTATCTTTGAATCACTAACTATAAAAGGCTTATTCCCATTGTCCTCCCTGTTGAGAATGATTTCACGCTCCTTTTTTTGGTAATGCTGTACAATATACATCGTCACTTTGCAACAAAATTATCACTTGATACTTCATAAGCCGACTATGGTGTTTATGTTGAATGCTTAATATTCATATTGATTTGTTAGAAAGTTTTCTTTATTCTTTATTTATTAATTGATAACTTTAATGATATAACAGCAAAATAGTTTAATTCAGAAGTTTTATGACATTGAGTTGTAATCAAAAGCAAAATAAAATTTACAAAGTAGTGATTTAGCTAAGCCTTATGTTACGTTTATGTGTTGAATTAAACTACAAATAGGACTACTATTACTAATGTTATAGAGTCAGTGTTTAAAAAGTTTTAAATGGTGCATAAATGTTAATTAATAAATATTCTTTTGGTATTTTAACACATATTATCTACTTGGCCTTAAAAAATAAAGAAAAATAAACATTTATTACTACCAAATATCTTTTATCCTTTGTACAGTGGAAAGAGTTGAAAATTTGTGTTGGAATATCTGCACTTTTCTACTTCCTGACCTAGAATACAGTGAAAAGGCTCAAGAGTACTATTTAAATCTGTTTCAGAGTGCACACCTACTTTGTTCATGATAACATTTAATTTTTCTGCGAAGTTTTTACTAAAAATGTGGTGATTAAAAAATTACTTCAAGAATGATGAAGTAAGTGAAGAGTAGGTGCATTTTGGAGTTACAGACAAATTCATTTTAATTATATTCTATAACTTTTGTTAATCATTTGACAATGGTTTCCAGTCATTTTTGATGAGCTTATATACTAGTGTTATATATTTAGCACATTCTTTATAAGACTATCATATATATAAATTAAAGGTATTATACGTGTAAATTATCTACAACTGCCAGTTTATTTGGTTTTAAACAAATTTGTGTTGAGAACCAATAGCTTTTTCAAAGTAGAAAATTAAGTAGATAAGTTACAATATTCATTTGCAGTTTATCAATTTGTCTGTTATTGTTGTCAACAAGATTATGTTGGATCAATGGCTTGCCGCCTTGGTTCCTGAACCAAATAGTATTTACAGCAAAGTCTGTGCAATTCTTTAAGCATTTTTCAGACATTTAGGCCCAACAGTGAGTGTGTGGGAGCAACAAGTGTAAACAATTTTTTGTACAGTATGTTCTACATAAAAATGACAAACTTAGCATTAGAGCCTCCCTATCCCTATATTAGGAAACTAAAAGCTGAACTTAATGTTAATTGGTCAATGCTGGAAATGTTTCTGAAGATACAAATCAAGGGATTTCCTGTAATTATACCCACCAACATCTGGATAATGAACATGAAGGGACAGCAAGTAAATTATTTTGTTACAAAAGTTTTAACAACAAAAATTTATTTAAGAGATTCTCTCCAATAATAACAATAAATTTTATCAATGCTAAAATGCTTATCTCTTTCAGCATGGCTTGGTCCCTGGGACTGACCTCATAACCATTTTGTGCTTGTTATATTAGGTTGTCAAGAAATTAATGTCGCATTTTGGAACACTTTCATCCCCCCTCCAAATATACATCGTGTATAATAGTTAAATGAATCACCTAAATGTCACGTTAGTGTAGCCTATATAATGTGTAAAGTTTAGTATACT